TCCTCCTCATCTTCACCAAACGACAGCAGGGACGTGTTCTTCACCTTCTTCCTTTCGTCCTTCCTGTCCGTGGACCCCTTACCTCCATATTCCTTCTTTTTCTTCTTTGCCGAGCTGGCAGTGAGATCCGAGGCACCACCCTCCTCTGTAGAGCGCTTGACTGGTTTCTTGAACATGATCTTCCCAACTGGCGGCTGCTCCTCTTCTGCGTTGTGCAGAGGACGGACGGAGAGAGAGAGAGGGGGGGAAAAATATGAGACATGAACAATCCATTACTGTTGGAATGCACACGCATGGTATATCATTTGAAACTGTCCCCATCAGCCTCTGTCTTCTGATGAGTACATGTAGGCATTTCTACAGGGGTGCAAATGTTCTCTCCAAGAAAAAATGGGGGGTACTCATTGGTGTCAACAAGAGTTTTCTGGGGGAGGAGTTTAGAACTCATTGGCAGCAAACTGCAAAAAAACTTTTACAGGGGAAGGAGTCAATTCCAAGGTATTTTTAGGTAAATTGGTGATTTTCACCCCTTTTTCTTTCATTTGTGTTCTTTTAAAATCTCTTCTATTTTTCTTCAGGGGGAAGCAACCCTCTCTCCTCTTCCTCGTAATGTCCAAGGGGGATCTGTGTGACATTCTGGACTGCATACTTGAGGGCAGAGGATACCTTCTACTGTCATCACTGAAACTATATTTTGGTATTAGGCACAAAAAGAGGGCATAAACATAGTGAAAAAGGAACCTAAAGACCACCCAACCCACTCTCTAATTTACACTCCAATTTGAAGTTAAAAGAACAAATTTCAGGCATCGGCTGGAAAGAGTGGATAACCCACCCTTTACAGCATGCAGTACTTGGCATATTGATATCAATCTCCAAATATAGAACACAAGATTCCACCTCAAATTTCCCCTAGAACTACATCTTGCTGTGTGCCAGACAGACATGAGATACAATATATGCTAGTGTTGGACAAATGTCCTCAATATTGAGACTTGGAATCCTTATTCAACTAGCCTATGCAGCTATAGTAGATGGTGTATGAGTGACATCACAGGCAACAGGTATGTATGACATACACGTATCTGACCTTCAACATCAGTGAGGAGGGGCATAATCCACAAAGTCCCAGAGAAAAGTGTCCATGTAAGCAGAGTGTGACACCGTCGTTATGTTTTAGGTCTACTGAAACTTTCAACCCCAACCTTTTTTTTCCACATTTTTCATGTGTTCCTCTGCCTCTTCCTGCGTCAAGTCCCCATCACGAAGCACGACAACTGTGGGCTTCTCGTCATCAGCCTCTGGTCTGTTGTCGTCATCATCATCTTCATCAAACTTGGGAATCTCTCTCTGTTGGCACCAATGCAAGACTAGCATTCAGTAACTGTTATCACAACTGTTAACTGTTGACAAATGGTAATTACAGGCTGTAGCCTCAAACCTCAAAACAATTTGTATCTGAAACTCAGCAAAACTACCAGTGCTAGTCAAGAGTGTAGATCCCATGAGGATGGGGGTACTTTTTGGAGGGAGTGGGCTGGACAGGATCCACCCCTCGGACTACATGTGTGGGGTTTGTCATTCTAGAGAGGTGGAATGATGAACCCCACACAGTTCTAGGGGTAGGCCTACACAGGATCATGACAAGAAAAAAAACTGAACCTTAAAGTTAGTCTAAAATTTTCCTTTGTCTATGAGTACCCGTCTTGCTCGTGTTACTAACAGTAAGTTCAACTTACTGTTACTGTTAGTAGTAACACTGAGTGTTACAAAAGTAGGCCTAGGCCCTAATTCCAAATACAACAGCCTGATTTTTGTGATCAGGTAATGAAATCAAATTAGACAAAAATTCTATTTAAAAATGGGCATTAGCTTATACTAAGTCTGCTTCGAATGTACCGGTTTCGCATTGTCAACGCAGTTTATCCAGAGACCTGGAAGGTTCTCCTCCAGGTCTATGTTTTACCATAATTATTATCATGAGGATTTTTTCCACCGCAAGCTGCACACCTTTGTTTCAATACTGGGGCCTTCCTTGTAGCCTGCTTGTTGCTTAAATTTCGCCAGAAAGCTTGGTTCACTCGGTTTGACATAACTGATACCGGATGGTCGACCAGACATTATGAACAAAATTTTGAAAGATCTTGAAAAGACAGACGAATTCACAGCACCAGCAGCTTTAACGGCAAACCATAGACCTGGAGGAGAAATGGGCAAACACACCAGTTTCACAGTCGTGCAGACGACATGACACTCACGACGATGACCCAACATAAAATATTCTTCTAAGGATTCGTTGGATATGTTGTGTATAATATTTTTTAAGACTTTAAGAAAAGTAGCATAAAGTATTTTTAAGGAATATAGATCATATTTAAACTTTCGTTGAGTCGATATTTCTTTTAATCTAAAAGATTAAACTGAATAATTGTAGTTTATATTGAACGAGCCTGCATTGAACTTCGGCCATCAGCGCCAAAATTCAAAGCCCATAACCTACATGTACATGATGTATATGTACACGTAACAACACATCGACAATAAATTCTGTAGAATTTTAGCCGATACAAAGTCAAGAATGTCGTCAGCAGGTAAATGATAGTGTTCCTTCAAACCTTGTCTATTCAGTAAGCTCGTGTGATTATTTATAAATTCGCCTCTTGTTCGGTATGGTGCCTGTAAACGTGGAGGAAGGACTCAAGGAGGAAAGTCAGTCATGTCAGTGGAGCTGCGATGATTGTCATTATGTCTTCTTCGACTTCGTGCCGAGCTTGGCCGACGTTAACAACACTCATAGGTCTTATCACAAATACTGCATGGGTGATTTTACACAACTGTAGAAAGGCATTGTGGAAAGGAAAAAGGAGCAAACATTGCCCCTTTTTTCTTCCCACAATGCCTTACTACCATTGTGCAAAATCACCCATGCAGTATTTGCGATAAGGCTTATGATAGGAGGCCTATGTACATGTACATACTAGGCCTACATAGAAAACCTACCTCAACCTGCATTTTAACTTAAGCCAATGCCACGCACCATTGCAGTGAAGGCCTTCATGTAGTGTACGTACGTAGCTAGCTCAGTCAGAACAGTGGTACCAGTGGCGAGTTACCACCTACATGTACGTGACTACGATCTGATGATGATGGCCAGGCACTGTGGCAGTTGCCTTGGCTGTTGCATTTGCATACAGTTCTGCTGGATTTAGGTCGTCATTTTTTGAGGTGTTCATTACCTTTAGCACCCTGTTCCTATATAATACGCAACAAAGTCTAATTTCTTAAAACATCTTACCTGGCATCCCTGGACACGTTGGTGGTGATGTCCTCTTTCCTAGGCCTATCCGAAAGAAAAAGGGCAGGGCTTTGGTTTTTGAGGGAATTTTATGGTAAAACAGCAGCATAAATCACACGACACAAAGAGCTGTGAACGAAGACGAATTAGTGAATGTAGTCTTGTGCCTTGACCTGGATGAAGTTTTTGTGAAATTTAGTATATCCATAATGGCTAGGTACATGTAGGGTAACCCGACGTGAAACAAATGGCTTAATGCTGTCGTCTTTCTCCAAACTCGGGTGAGAAAATTCTGGTTTTCTTGCTTATATATTATCAAAATTCACCTAGCCTAGCACTACTAGGATTAAGAACTGGATCTTCAATGTCGGAAAGTCAGTTTGAAAAAATGGGCTCTTTTCCTTTATTGTAGGAATAGGCCGTTAAAGGTAATGAACACTATTTTTGGAGTTATCTTGAAGAGGATGTCATATTCGTAAGAAATATTTAGATATACATGTATATAAATATGGATTCCATTGGACTCTGCAAAGCAAAGAAAAAATTGCTTTTAAGTGGGGATGTTTTGAGATGTTTTTGTCCACGTATAGGTATTTGCAGAGCAAACTGTGATTATTTTGTACACAAAAATGAGTGTGGATTTTAAATGAAAACCTCAAAAAACATACGTCTGTAAAATTGTTCTTATTTGTGCCTTATTTCAATGAATCAAATGCTGGCTTCACTTCAAATTTCAAAAATTTTGAAATTGGAAATTAAATAGGCCTAGAGGAGCTACATTGTGCAAAAAAGACAAATTCGAATCACAGTTTCGTGTACGTGTATGAAATTCTCCTAAGATTGAAATTATATTTTTAAAATTTTATTTGGTATGTCCAAAATAAAGATAATGTAGCATGTGTAGGCCTTGTTTGTATTGTAACATTTGACATGTTCTAGAATACATGTAGTTACTCAGGGTTAGAATAGCCTGTAATACAGTTTTTCATTGACATTGTCACTGGTTTATGTCACTGTCATTCATGGTCCATTCCAGTACTTGCAGACATGTCTCCGGACTCAAGATTACCAATAGAAATTTTGGCCTTCTTGTACATGTAATGCCTCTGGTGATTTTTTTTCATGTTTGTGAGAATTGTCTCTCTTATTAATGCCCTTTATTAAATCAAGCATAATCAAAAAAGGCTGTCCAAGATTTTTGTAAACAATGCAACGTGTGTGTACACATAGTTCTGGGTAAATAGTCGTTCCCATTAAAAAGCTTTGCTCTGTTTCTGCTGGGTTTTATTTTTGTCATTGGAGAGAAAATTGATTCTACCTTTCAATCCCTTCTTTTATGCATTTTAGACCTTCACCCGAAAGACAACTCAACTGGCGGGTAAGATTGATTTAAATGTACTCCAGTTATAATTTGTTGCCAGGGTCTTTCGGTAAATACACAGGCAATATGAAGTATTAAATTCAACAGCAGCCTTTGGAAGTGCTTCATGAGACAAACACATGGTCCTCAGGCGTCACTACTGTTTGCATTATGTGTGAGCTAATGTATGCATGCTCAAACTGAGGCAGTGGAGGGGTCATGTGGGACTAGACAAGTACACTGTACATGTACATGTATGTACCCACCACCTGACCACCAAGTGTTTAAAGAGTCTCTTATTTGTGTACCTGTGGTTTCTCATCTTAACTAGTAAAAACAATCTATTATTACTGAAGGAAAAGATGTCATATTGCTTATGAATGCTTGGTAAATAAAAATAAAAAGAACTAATACTTGACTTCACTTTAAAACAACACTCTCAGTTGTAAGCATCTACATTGTACATTGTAACTTCGTGACTATATAGTCACTTGCTGTGAAAACCAAACTTGACAGAAGGTGGCAAATTAGGGACCTGGTGAGTATACGACCACAGGTGTCAGATTGTCAGTGGATTTTTTGCATGTGCTATTTCATTACACAAAATTTGATTACTGGAAAATTTTTCCAAAGTCATCATTGCGTCCCTCTTTTACACTTCCATCAGTGATGGAGACTCCATCAGGGTCTACCTCCGGGTTCGTCCTCCCGACCAGGACAATGGCATCGACTCAGGCCAGATACTGACTGTCCAGCCTCCGGACATGGTCATCCTGCCTTGCAAGCCAGAGCCTAAGGTCTTCACCTTTGATCACGTGGCTGATATCCACACCACACAGGTAGGCCCTTTACCGCCAAACATTCACAACAGACAAAAAACATTTCCAATTTTTAAATGGTTACTTTCTCTCAATTTTATGGAATTTGGTGATGCCAATAGGGCTAAAAGATTATTATAGCCTATGCCCTGCATGTACCTTTGAATATCTTCTTGCCTAAACATGTCTGGGACCTTTCATTCTTTAGATACTTTATGAATAGCTCCAACATCTGCTCATCACATAAAGTTTAAGTACAGTTAGTAGAGACTAATCTCAGAAAGCCTCGCAAAACAAACATAGTTTAATATCACAGGAAAATCAGTGCTACAATTTGGCTGGAACGAGAGAATGCTAGAACCAATTCAGCGTCTTTGGAGATGTTTGCTGCTCTGTTTTTATCACTTGTGATAGTGGATCAGTTTTTTTCGCTTTCCCAGAGATCAAGGTGTCACAATGTCACACTTCTTTGAGAAATGAACAGTGGGCCCGTTAATTCAAACTAAAGACTGTATGTTAGCAAGGTTGGAAAGGTTCAATGGACCAGCGGACTGAGGCCAGTGCAGAATTTTTAATGTTGGTCTTGCAGCATCCATACCAGTACAAACGAGCAGTAACTTTTCATTCATCATATTTATCTTCGGATTATTTCAAAATTTTTGTAAAAAGATATTTTGGTGCGCTTTATTTTCTTGGAGATAAAGGTGCATACATGTACAATGTGTATCACACACATGGAGTGCTCCGAAAATGCCAAAATTGTAATGCAAGTTAAATGCAGGGCACAACTCAAATGAGTCGGGCAATCTCTCAGTATCAAAGAATAACCATGAACATGATACTCAGAAGACAAGAACAGTAAGTGCCTATTCTCCTTGGGCTATATCTGAATACATGTACCCAGCCAAGATAAAGAGAGAGTGAAGAATCTTTTTTTTTTAGGAAGCAGTATTTGCTGCTGTTGGCAGGAAGACAATCGAGAGCTGCGTGGCAGGGTACAATTCCACTATATTTGCCTAGTAAGTGCTTGAATTCATCCTAAAGTAGAATTAGTTTACAAATCTGTCTCGTTCTCTGTATAACAGATTACTTTTTACAGTTGCTTCCGGTACATACACTAAGCATACATGTACATTGTACATATGCATGTAACAATAGTTTGGAAGCTGACTGTGTGGTATAATGTGAATACCAGCTGCAGCTGGGGCCAATTTCATAGAGCTGCTTAAGCACAAAATTTGCTTAAGCGCAAAAAACATTGCTTGATAAATCAGTTAACCAGCCAAAATTCCATGTGATGTATATTGTTTGGGGATTGTATTTAGCTGTTGTTTGGTTAGCATGACATTCAGATAGAGTTTCAACTGGTAACCTTTGTTTATTAAGCAAAGTTTTTTCCTGCTTAAACAAATTTGTGCTTAAGCAGCTATATGAAATTGGCCCCTGGGTTACTTGAAATTTATACATGTGTACAACAAACAAGTCGACAAGTTTGGGTTCTGGACATGGGGAATTCAGTGTATAACTCAATGAATCCTGGGAATTCTGTGTTTATGATGCATTGCTCATGGTGACTGCATACATGTAGATATACGCTGTATTACAATCAAGAAATAAAACTTTGCACCCAAGACACTGATTAAAACCCAAAGACATTCTTGATTGGGAGGTCAGTTCCTTTTGTGGGCAGGTCTTTCCACTGTTACGAGTGGTTGATGATTACCTAGACTTTACAGTAAAGAACTACAGGTTCGTATAATTACCATGCGTTTGAATTACCAGTTTTCTTTAGCAGAAGTGTACATGCTACAGATTTTTAAAATCTCATCCTTTAATTTGTTTTTCTTTTCATTTCCAGCGGACAAACTGGATCAGGCAAGACATTCACAATGATGGGTAAGTTGAACCGTTGAGGATAACAAATTTTTGTATGACACAAATTGAAAGTGACCTCTCTCCAGGGGAAAAACTCCAACCAACTAGCAAATGAAAATATAATCAGAGATGGAGATTTGCTTTGAATCTGTCACATAATATGAAGTATCACTTTCTGTCAGTTGCACCGGTAAAATGCACATTTTATACCCAGAATCTTATTGCTAAAAAAACACTACAGTTTAATTTATCTCAATCAAGAGAAATTTCAGATCTGATGCTCAACAATTTTTCTTTTGTTTTTTTGCATAGGACCTGATGAGGCTGATAATTTCCACCATGAACTGCGAGGTGTCATCCCAAGAAGCTTTGAATACCTGTTCAGTCTTGTTAACAGGGAACGTGAAAAGGTAGCCTCCAAATGCTTTACAAGGCATCAAAACTGTGGAAAAGTCCAAAGCTAACTTGAAGAAATCATTATAGAGCATAAGTCTCCTTTCCCTTTCAAGCAAGATGAGAATATTGAATAGGAAGAAATCCTCAGGCTGAAAACGGAGGTGTTAAGTTTTCCATTTATTTGCTTATTTTACATTGAAAGGATGCTCAAGATAATGAAACAGTCAAGACTCGTGCTGGCCTTGAGTCTTGGCCCGAGCCCCTCAAAAGTCGAAAACTGAGCTCAAGGCCATCAAACAATGTAGTCCTACAGGTCTGTTGTGTACTTGTACATGAAAAAGCTGTGTGTTTGCCTGCCTTCAATCCTGTAAAACCCTCCCAAATGCCAAGTGAACTATGAAATATGTGGGAGAACTTAGCGTTGTGGTCTGTGAGGGTGATGGATGACATGAATGCCATACTGTGCATCTATTGCAAAACTGATAGTAAATGTTGCAATTCGATTTTTTTTAGGTACTTCCATATTTATCTCTCTAGAGGTGAAATTGATTTAAATGTCATGACCTATTTTTTTCAGCTGTTCTAGCTGGTAGTTCCCAAATGAGCTTGGTTTGACATTTACTGATGTAAGGAGATAAGGAGACTCTGACAAGCTTGCAGGAACCCCCCCCAACAAAAACTTAATATCCTTCAATTACATGAAGACCAGCCTCCCTTCTAACACTACAAACAGAACAGGATGGAATATTACTAGCAATACTGTAAACAATCTGTCTGCTTATCACAGCAAGGAGAGCGATTCGAGTTCATGTGTCGCGTGTCATTCTTGGAGATCTACAACGAGCAGGTGTATGACCTGTTGGACTCTGCCTCCATGGGCCTACAGCTGAGGGAAAACTTCAAGCGTGGCGTCTTTGTTGATGGTCTCATTGAGCAGGAGGTTAACAATCCCAGTGATGCATACAAGGTATGCTATCCTCATATGTGGCAACAATATACAGGTGGCAAGTTCATGAAATAATTGTAACAACAAGTATAAATGGCTATTTTTCAATAACAAAGGTTAAGAGGGATTGAAGGAAAAAAGGCAGTCTTATGTCCACCGACTGCAGTAATTGATAGCTGATATTAGACACCTTGTCCCCTCCAAAGGTGTTGTCAACTGGCTGGCTGAACCGGAGAGTTGCTTCTACATCCATGAACAGGGAAAGCAGTCGCAGCCATGCTGTCTTCACATTCACCATACAGACCAAGGTAATTCTTGTACGTGTACAACATGCGCCCAGCCTTCGAGTTCAAATCAGATATCATTTAAGGTAACTTGAATGCAGTGTTTGATGTTCATTGGGCTAAACTTGGCCTGGCAAGCATGGTAGCTTAAAATTTGAGATATCTGCATCAGTTAGTAGAAATTCACAGGTTTGGGTCACCCATTGTAATCTCTAGAATGAATTGAACTCATCTTGCTAGTCAGCAACACTGTGCCTTTGAGTGACTTTTCGCTACTGTGGAAATATTATATTTACCTGTAAGGGCTCTAATCATTGTTGAAAAGCTTGCATTTCCAACACCACCTTGCAAATGTGTGTGCCAGTAAATTGTCTTTGTTGTCTGAATAGTTTGAGATTTAGATCAGTGAAGAAGTTTGGGATCCCGTGCAGCGTGCCAACTGGACGAGCTTTTGTTCTGAGAAAACAAACTTCATAAAGTACATACAACTTTTCTAGAGTAAATATAGGAAGCCTCTTAATGCAAAAGGAATTAAGTACGTCACCATATACGTGTCACAGTACTTCCTTTTTGCCATGAAATCACGCTCTCTGCCATGTAAACTCAATGGTAGAAACTCCTGACCTTGTAAAAAAATCCTCCAAAATAAAACACTTAAAAATGAACAGCAGGTGTGGTTGTTTCAGGAATAATGTCTGGCTCATAGACCTGGCTTAAAAATGTCTAAGTGATTGAACCTGATGCCCTATTGTATTGTAAAATGTCGATTTTTCAAATATTTCGCCTCTCACAACTCAGGAGAAGAAAGCTGGTGTGTCCAACATCCGTGTGTCGCAGCTGAACTTGGTCGACCTGGCAGGCAGCGAGCGGCAGAAGGACACCAAGACGACGGGAATCCGGCTGAAGGAGGCGGGCAGCATCAACAAGTCCCTCCTGACCCTCGGCCATGTCATCACTGCCCTGGTGGACATCGGTCACGGCAAGACCCGCCACGTGCCTTACAGAGACTCCAAACTCAGCTTCTTGCTGCGGGTGAGTGCCAGTGTGACCCTGCAGCTGTCAGACTGCACAGAGTGCTGCTGTTTCCCATCTGTAGCATGAAGTTTTAGGAATCCTTGAAACTGGTTTTGGTGCGGGATGTGTACTAGCATGTAGTTTGGACATAGACACTTTAATGCGCAATTATAGCGTGTTGGATAAAACACATCATACGCTACAGTTTTGCAGATATTAAGTCGGCACTTGGTCACTGAATTATTCCAAGCAGATGTCTTTTTGGCAGTGGCACCAGAGTCCCCCACAAACTCATTGCACGTCATTAATCAATTATACAGATACCGTTTGGCAAAATTTTTGTACACATCTAATTGATTGAAGAGGCTTTTGTGTGCACTACCTGCACGTGAGAACGGTACCCCTGCAGTAATGACTTCAGTTCTGGTCCCTAGATTTACTGATGCAGTGGATGCTGTTTGTACATTGTGCTTGACAAAGGAACATGTGAAATTGATTTAAGCTTCACCACCAACTAAATGAAAACTATTATGCTTAGCCCATGTCTTATGTGACGAAGCAGGCTCCTAAGACTTTCTCAAGATTTTTTTAAAAAGGAGAAACCTCACTTTTCACTCCAGTGTGTAAGAATATCTTCTGCTCGGGTCTGTTTTTGCTTTTCAGGACTCTTTGGGTGGAAATGCCAAGACGTACATCATAGCAAATGTGCACCCAGGAGCAAAGTAAGTATGGAGAAACAATGATGATTCCCTCTCTTAATTCCTTCGTTGTTTTCTGAAGTACACTCCGTTTCTGGCTTTCTTGTATGTTTGGTGTATAGACTAATAGAAGCAGAGCTTGGATTCTCAATTCAAGCAACCTTTGCCTTTTTTTCATTCTCCAGGTGTTTCGGTGAAACACTTTCAACTTTAAATTTTGCCCGGAGAGCTAAGATGATTAAGAACAAGGTATTATCACATGTACATTCATTGCATCTATTAGTAATTCTTTTTCTAGTAAAATTAACCCTAACTCTCCCAGATCCTACGAAATAAGTGGAAAGTTTCTTAAGGATTGTGAAGGATTAATGAAGGTAGAGCCTAGCCACTCTTTGGCTTACATGGGACTTGATGTCCTTGACAGGTAAAAGGCAACATATCCCATTGGTTTCCTAACCAGTGGAGGATTTTAAAGGATTCATGATGGTTTTCAGCAGAAATGTGCAGGGAGTGTCAGAATGTGACTGGATTCCCCGAAATGCATCTTAAAACCATTTTTTAAAAAGTAATTTTATTTTAGCCTGCCTTAGTAAAGGAAGACAGAGCTCTTCAGTTAAATGATGCTCCACTCAGTTTTCCCACCTCGTGAAAATGGACGTTATGTGGGTAAAAAATATTGAGGCTCTTCATATTGATTTTCACTCTGCAAAAAATCTTTCAAAGGCCTTAAACTCGAATGTTGCTCAGGTGACCTGTGACTCACTTTGTTAGATCGGGTCATGCGTAATTTCAGGCAAGTCTTGATCAACAGCAAATCCCTCCCCCTCCCCTGCCGTTCTCATTGACATGATACCCTCTTGGGTTGTTCTCATTGGTTGTTAACATTAACAGGCTGTAGTGAATGAGGATACCCAAGGTAATACACTGCATCTACAGTTGGAAATCAAACGACTGCGAGAGCAACTCCAGCAGTACACACAAGGATCTATCCCAAAGGAACCAACTAGCTCAGGTAACTCAGCCTTGCTGAACTCGGGTCAGATCAGTTGTGTTTGCTATTTGAGATTGAATTAAGTACAATATCCTTAATCGTGGTTGGCCCTTTCCCATGTGAAACTAGTGTATCTCCATGAAGTGCTTGTCTGTGAAATGCAAAAAACGTACGAAATAAAACAAAGCTTTCTGTTTACTTTCTGGAACACAACACACTGTGTACTTAGCTTAGCTTCCATCCAAACTTACTCATTTACTGAAATTCAGTAACAAATAAGAGGTGAGTATTGATGAAATTTTTATGCCATGCTGTAAAATAATTAAGTTTTGCAAACTGCTGGTGAAGTCAGGAAATTGTGTTATCTTAGAAAGTGTTCCATTTTCAAACCTAAAATCTTTTCTGAATTGAATGTCAGAGATGGTTTGATATTCAAACCTTTCAGCACTTAGCCATTTTATGGGTCTTTTATGGAGTTAAACTGAGGTGATGTAATTTCAGTACGTTATTTTGTAATCTAGTCTGAAGCCTTGTCAAAAGCCGTGTTTACATTGGACTAAAAAGTTCAAAAAGTTACCACGAGCACATGTTAACATTCCATTGCAGTTACTCTTCTATAGTGTTCCCATGTGGATTTTGCAACCTGTGGAAAGTGTCTTAGTCACTTCTGAGAATATCACGAGGGCGCTCTCCCATTGACCTTGTAATTTGATACTGGATGTTTCTTCAGGATGTGTGAAATGTTTGGAATTTCTTTTATTCAAGTTGTTTATTTTGCATCTGCAATGTCCTACATGCATGTAGAGTACTGTATGGGCACGTGCAATGGGAAATGACAGAGGTCATATGAGAATGCCCTGACCCATTTACATGAACTTGAAAGTTTTACATTACAGTGGCCTCCTGCCTAGGATTTTTCTGTGATACAATATTGACAATGTAATTCTTCCAAGACTCAGTTGACCCTGTGACACTTCTGCTGCCGTAGGTAAAACTAGCGACTGACATTCAACACTTGACGGTGATGACAGTTAAGCAGCAGTCAGCATTAGATCTAATGTTGTCAAATTGACAATAGTCTCTGCAAGGTTTATTTAAAAAATAGATCTAATGTTGTCAAATTGACAATAGTCTCTGCAAGGTTTATTTAAAAAAA